TTGACACTTGCAATTGGTTCAGGTACAAGTACCAAAGGGAGCGTTTCCGGAACCAGTTGACACTTGCAATTGGTTCAGGTACAAGTACCAAAATGAGCGCTTCCGGAACCAGTTGACACTTGCAATTGGTTCAGGTACAAGTAGCAAAGTGAGCGTTTCCGGAACCAGTTGCACTTACAATTGGTTCAGGTACAAGTACCAAAGGGAGCGTTTCCGGAACCAGTTGACACTTGCAATTGGTTCAGGTACAAGTACCAAAATGAGCGTTTCCGGAACCAGTTGACACTTGCAATTGGTTCAGGTACAAGTACCAAAATGAGCGTTTCCGGAACCAGTTGACACTTGCAATTGGTTCAGGTACAAGTACCAAAGTGAGCGCTTCCGGAACCAGTTGACACTTTCAATTGGTTCAGGTACAAGTAGCAAAGTGAGCGTTTCCGGAACCAGTTGACACTTGCAATTGGTTCAGGTACAAGTACCGAAGGGAGCGTTTCCGGAACCAGTTGACACTTGCAATTGGTTCAGGTACAAGTACCAAAATGAGCGTGCCGGAACCAGTTGACACTTGCAATTGGTTCAGGTACAAGTACCAAAGTGAGCGCTTCCGGAACCAGTTGACACTTGCAATTGGTTCAGGTAGAAGTACCAAAGTGAGCGTTTCCGGAACCAGTTGACACTTGCAATTGGTTCAGGTACAAGTACCAAGTGAGCGTTCCCGGAACCAGTTGACACTTGCAATTGGTTCAGGTACAAGTACCAAAATGAGCGTTTCCGGAACCAGTTGACACTTGCAATTGGTTCAGGTACAAGTACCAAAGGAAGCGTTTCCGGAACCAGTTGACACTTGCAATTGGTTCAGGTACAAGTACCAAAGTGAGCGCTTCCGGAACCAGTTGACACTTGCAATTGGTTCAGGTAGAAGTACCAAAGTGAGCGTTTCCGGAACCAGTTGACACTTGCAATTGGTTCAGGTACAAGTACCAAAGTACCGGAACCAGTGAAGCGTTCAGAACCAGTTTGCAATTGGTTCAGGTACAAGTACCAAAATGAGCGTTCGGAACATTAGACACCGCATTGGTTCAGTACAAAGTACCAAATGAGCGTTTCCGGAACCAGTTGACACTTGCAATTGGTTCAGGTACAAGTACCAAAGTGAGCGTTTCCGGAACCAGTTGACACTTGCAATTGGTTCAGGTACAAGTACCAAAGGGAGCGTTTCCGGAACCAGTTGACACTTGCAATTGGTTCAGGTACAAGTACCAAAATGAGCGCTTCCGGAACCAGTTGACACTTGAAATTGGTCCAGGTACAAGTACCAAACACATATTACATATAATGCCGAGTCGTGATCTTACTTTGTGGTGGGTTCAGGAAGTACAGATAGGTAGGCAACAACAAATCAAGCGAAGCCAAGTGAGGGAACAACACATGCATGAACACACACAAAATACAAGGCACATGGATATAGCCGTAAACAAATACATAGTATAACATTAACATTAACACACACACACACACATCAATCAATGAACAAACCACTGAGCTAGCTCATCTGGTTCAGGGGTTCAGGCTCAGAGCCCTGTTTTCGGGGTTGCAAATAGACACCAACGGAAACCATCTGATTTTGCAAAGGTTCCATACCTAGATCGAAAACCCAACAAGTGTCGGGCTTCAGAGGGTGTCTAAGCCTAGTTTTGTCACTCCCTTGGTATCACAGAAAGCGGCCCCTAAACCCCCTCTTTTCCGCCCCGTGAGGCACAACAACGGAAACAAACCACTCAACCCCCCCCCCTTTAAGAGACCCCCGGAAAAACCACTCACCCCCCCCCCAAAAAAAAAAACAAAAAACTGAGACCACCCTCCCCCCCCCCCACAAACAAAAAGTGAGACCGAGTGGCGTGTCCGATTGCCTCATGCCCATAAACTCCAGGCACAGCTCCGCCTGCGCCTTGTGGGACGCTCGGGACACCGGGCGGTGGAGGCACTCCATCCTTGGCGTCCGCGGAACGAAGCGTCCCCGGTGGACCCAGAGACGGGGCCGAAACGGCTACCCTCCCTCCCACTAACATGGCAACTGAGAGGGAGTCCCTCCAAAAGGAAATTAATCTTCCACTCCGCACAGGTGCCATGTTAGTTGGAGGAAGGGTACTGCGCTTTTGCGGCCTCGCGTTTAAACGCCAGACTCACATGGAAGCTCCCGAACGGAGCCCTTTGGAAGACTGGGTTCCGAAATTAGGTTGAACCAGAAGCGGGTTGGGACCGGAGAGGAGTGGGTGCCAGGACCCCTTTGGAAGACTTGGTTCCATTTGCAGAGGCTTGCTGGGAACTTCCATCTTAGCCTGAGGGAGTGAAAACGCCACCCCAAAAAGGCTACCCCCATTAAACAAAAGCACCCAGACTGGCAAGAAAAGGGAGGACCAAGGGCAACCCTCCCATGGCTCCAAAGGCGAGCCGGCAAGAAAAATATATAGTCGGGAACATGTGTGTGTGTGTGGATTGCATCATGAAAGTACAAACAGACAAACATATCAAAGAGCAACATCAAGATTTTGTTGCGAATATATGACGGAATGATAAAACACATTCTAGCCATGCATGACCAGTATATGCATATGCAGGGTTCCGTTGTTTGACTACCCCATGCGAGGGATTTCCCTTTTGAAGAAATCAACAACCCCTGGGTTTAAGTTCACTTTGGGGTTCTCAAGAAATGGAACCCTGTGCATATCCCAGCGATCCGACGGGGTTGCCTGTATGTCGAACCTTTCAACATCAGCCCGAACGAACATTGCTTCCGGCGGCAAAACCATGGTATCATATGAGTCATTTTTTAAGCCACACAGCTGAACCTAAAGCCTTGTCAGAGGGTGTGTATATGCTTTCGCGGAGGACCCTTTTTTTGTGGGGTGTGCTGTAAAGCGAACCCAAATTGGGAAACCCGACCATTCCCATGACGGTCTCATTGATTCACACACCCAGCCCTCTCGCCACTTGGCCCAACCCTACGTGCAGGGATGCTAGGATGATAAGAAACATCAAACACAGCCTGCGTACAAGAGGGATCCTCTAAGCCAGCTGGCGAAGAAGCTTTAACCGGCCCAATTGTGCCTGGAGCCATCGATCCCGAGGGGCAAGGGCGTTCGGCCCCGGTCGTTTCGTCGCAAGACGTCCGCCTGGTTGTCGATGAGAGTTGCCACCATCTCAGAGTGACACTTCTGGTCGATGTCCTCCGTTTGTGTTGCACCAATGAGGTGGTTGCCATGAAACCGATGCGCATTGAGGTATTCTACCAAAACTAACAGCAAACAAAACGGTGTTGTTCTTTGGACCCTAACCGGGAGGATGTTCGTGTTGGTTTCCTAATTGAGGTGCAGAGGATATCGAGCAAAAACGGGGCTCAAATTGGTGTAAGGGCTCAACACGATCTCTAAAACGGGTCTCCACTACCCCTCCAGCACCGGTTGGAGTCACAGGTCTGGATTACTTCAGGTCCGTATGCTTCAGGCAAATCACCCAAAAAATCGGCGATCCCACGGCATTCAGCAAGTGGAAGCTGCAAACATCGACGTAAGGCAGATGTCCCCATTCTTTCCAGGAGCCCTTCCTTCCAAGGAGACCACCATAAACCAAAGCTGCTGTTACAGAGGAAAAGAAGGATTGCACACGGAGAATCAACCGCTAAAAAACATAATTACGGGTATAAACTTTAGAGCCTCTGGCTCAGTCCGCCGACATTGGCATCTAGCTTGTCTCCTTCTTCCTCTCGCCCGTGTCCCCCTAGTGTGCTCTTCTGTCCTCTCTGGTTCCCCCATCCTCCCCGACACGCCGAGCAATGTCGACGGAGTGTTGAGTGCCACCAAGAGGGTGCTCCCAAAAAGGGCGCCGAACCATGCCTCCAAGTAAAATGTTGGGAAAGGGTGGCGACCAAACAGGGCGTACAATTGCGAACAGGAAGGCTCGCCGTTTAGGGCACCTTAGTGCTGGGTGGTATGTCATGGCCACTGCATGTCATTTTGGCGGGGTGCGCGGATAAGCTGATTTCTGAGGGGTGTTGAGGTTGCCCATTGTACGGCATTCTTGCTTGCGAGAAGCGTGGCTTAGCATGGCCCAAGTATCCGACACGAAGGACATTGGGGGCGACACTTGGAAGGAAGCTGGGGTTGGGGAATCAGGACATTTGGGGGAAACTGGGGGGGAAATTGGGGGGAAGTCGGATGGAAATTGAAAGGAAAGTGGGAGGGAATTGGTGAGAAAGTAAGGCGCAATTTGCGGGGAAGCATTGGGGGAAATTAGGGGAAATTGGGGGGAAATTGGTGCCAATTGTCAAGGAAATCGGAAAACACAATGTTTTTTTCAATGGTGTCAGCAAAGGAAAAACACCATCACCGTGTGTAAGTTTTCCGCAAAAGGCAGCACAAAACCTCAGCCGGCAGAAAGAGGCGGCGGGAGGATTCGAGCCTGGGACCCCCGTTTCTCCAGACCCGCTCCCCAAAGACTACGTTTAGTGGAACGTCATCAAATTGCCGCGCGGTACGCGGGGGAGGAGGGGGGGGGGGAAGGGGGGCGAGCTCCCGGGAGCCTCTCAGATTCCATCGGGTGGGGTTTGGGCCACGCGTGTCTTGGCGGGCTTCGTTCCCGAAGCTTGTTCCCGGGAAACTCCAGGGGGGCCTCCCGGGGGGCCTCCCGGGGGGTTTTCCGGAGGGCCTCCCGAAAGGCTCTCGCATTCCAGTTTGGGCAAGGCGTCGCGTGCCGGGATTGGATCCCAAGGCGTGTTCCCGATTCCGATTGGTTCCCTGCCTTGGCTTTGTGCGACACCCTTTTTTTCTATCCTGCCTTGTCGCATTCGTGGCACAGCGTCTGGACATGCATGCTGTCGGCTGCCACGATTGGCCCGTGCATGTGCGGTTTCCCGAGGCACGCCCGCTTGGAGGACACACGACAAGGCCTTTTGCGCCTCAAGTTCATACCCGTGCTGACTTCTACACATGTGTGGGCAACACCGCCGATCATGCTCGTCCACATGCAAAGCACAACGCATTGCCACCTCTCCACTCCAGCTGGCCCCGTGCGTCACACTTGGCACTGTTTTGCAATGATCGGTCTGCTGCTGATTTCGCTGGGTGACATATCTGCGATGAGCTTCCAAAAGTTGCCTTGGACTGAGCTTACGTCAGTCTAGGCGTCACACCCGGCTGCGTCGCTCGCTCACTTCACTCGCACTGACCCTCCTGCTCCCGCGCCTCATTGGCCCAGCCGGCGGAAATTCGCGCCGCCTGCCGGCGCAGCTGCCTGGGCCCGCGGACGCTTTTTGTTCTGGAGCGCCACGGTCAGGAAATTGGCCTGCCGCTTGCGAGCCGTCTTGTCATCCCCAGCTTTCTTGACCTCCTTCAGCTCCGCACGGCCTGGCTGCTCTGCAAGGTGCCCGACATGTGTTGCCCATTCTTGTGGATTCTCGGCCACGTAGGTCCACTCCACCATCTGGTACGCCAGGTGCGTCAGCCCCTGGCCCAGGCGAAGACTCTGCATCAGGAAGTCTTTGAAGTGCGGCACTTCCCCGGCTGCGCGCAACTTCTTCAGGACCCTGGTGACGGAAGCCCGGATCTCCTCCGTGTCATCCGACGCCTGCCCGCTGAAGGAGTTCAGATTCTGCAGGTCGGGCTCCAGCTCCTCTATGACGTCCCGGATGTAGGTCATGCCGTCTCCCAACAGGCCTGACGCAAGCCCATTTTTCACCAGCGGCAGAATGTGCAGCAAGGCCCCGGCAAACTCACTGAGGGCGAACGCAGGTCGATTCATCGACTCAGCGCTCTCGGACGTCAACAAGGCGATGAAGTCGCTGTATCCCAGCGTTTCAATGCCCTGCTTCATCAAATTCCCCTCGCGAGTTGGATAAGGACGGGATCCGCTCGTGAGGACATGATTGCTATACCGCACCTCCGTGATTCCGGACTTCTGACCCGGCATGTTGCTACAAGGCAAGGGACAGCCAACCACGGTTTGAGCAAAGAAAGCCAAGGACTTGCTGCATGGCCATGAGACACCCTCAACAACAACGGCATGTCGCGCTCGCCGGAGACGCGCATTTTCACTTTTCCGCCATGTCTGCATTACATTCGGAAAAACTGTGCTGTCGGCTTCGACACCCAATGCACATCTTCGGGCTTGTGCACACGAGAGAGCGCCACATAGGCTGCACGGCAGGCAGCTCTCAACGGGCAAATGGTCACATGTGGCAGGGTTCGCCCCTGCATTTTGGCAATGGTACACGCATATGCCACCGTGATGGGGTATCCTGAGGCGTGCCGGCCGTTCACAAGCACCCACTGCCGAGGAATGACGCACTCCCCTTGATGTGTGTCCAGGTGAATTCCTGCGGATGTCAGTTTCTGCACTGTGCCCATGAGGCCGTTGACTAGCCCCCTTGGCTTGTCAGTGTTCCGCACCAACATGACTCGCAGGCATCTGAACAGATGCAAGGTTCTGCGGGCGTCTGTCACACAAGTCACGGGGCCCAGCGGCGTGTGCCAAGGAGCCATGGCCGCAGCTATGCTTGTGTTCAGCTCTTCCACGCGCTGCCGGGTCACTGCCAGAAATATCGTAGATGGGTGTTGCTGCAAGGGGGGGGGGCGACCGAAAAACCATGCGTATTTGACGTGTCCCGGGGGGGGGTTATCCTCTATCCTCTCTTAGGTATCCAATAGTCCTCTCTTAGGTATCCGACACGCTGAACAATGTCGGCGGATTTTGATTAGGGACCCTTTGGCGGACATCATAAATGGGTGGGGGCTCATCATGATTAGACTCAGGCCCAGTTATAGAATGTCCGCCGACATTGCTCGGCGTGTCGGATACCAAAGAGAGGACTATTTGATACCTAAGAGAGGATAGAGGATAACCCCCCCCCTAGTCCCCCCCCGCAACACGTCAAATACGCA